TAAAAATACAAAAATGAGAAGAATTTAAAAAAAAAAAAAAAAAAAAAAAAAAAAAAAAAAAAAAAAAAAAAAAAAAAAAAAAGTAAATCATCAAGGGATCTTCTCAATATTAATTTTCGTTTCTATATCTGGAGAGATATTTATTCTTATATTGTTCGTTCGTTTGAAAACAGCGAGAAATAATCGAGGAAAAAGTGGCATAGTAACAGGTACCGTTAAGATTGCATGGCAGTCAACAACGCCATATGAGATTTTCTATTACTTGGACTTTCCGAGTTTCTGAAAATCTTACTAAAAACATGCTCGGCGCTTAGTAAACTACGTTCCTCGTACGATAATAAAATCCCACAAAATATATTATTCAACATTAAAATAATTTATTATCCTTTTAAATATAAAATCATTATAAATATTCTTGTTATGTATGAAGCGGATATCATTTACATTATCCTCGTTTTGCTAAAATTGGCATTACAAATATACTTAAAAAACTAATAACGATTAAATGGCACACGATAAGTACGCAAGTTATAAAATATTTCTTTTCATTTTTCAAATGAACACCAGGAGGGAGTATATAAATGCAATATCATAAATAAATTTGAAATCAAGAATGTTCACAAAAGCATCCGTCTTTGGAATTGTTCATAATCCATTTGAGATAACGAGTGACTCGTGTGTAAACACCGGGATAACCTGGCCGGGCACATCCATTTCCCCAAGATACAATGCCGATTAACTCGTATTTTTTATCCTCTCTCTCGGTGACAAGTGGACCACCACTATCTCCCTAATATGGCAGAAAAAAAATCAATATTTACATTATGATTATCAATGCTTCGTTCACGGGAATATCACTGTCAAATGTTTTTTCTTCTCCAAAATATCAATATCAAATATTATCCAATGAATTGTTCCTTTTCATATATTAAAGAATAATGTATACGTGCATACACACGCGGATTCATTGGTGTTAGTTAATAAAATACATTTTGCCTCGCGTTGTGTCAATAATTTAATAATTTTTCACATTGCAATTGGAAAGGAACGTATTGGATTAAATATTTTTTTAATTAATTGCCTACTGTTTACCTGACAAGAATCTTTTTTCCCTTCGGGATATCCAGCGCATAACATATTTTCGGATATCATACGAGAATTGTAACTGGTGTTGCGACAGTCTTCAAGGCTCATCACAGGTACATCGACTGATTGCAAAAGACAGGATGGTTTGCCATCCTCGTGCAAAGTTCCCCATCCGGAAGCAAGAGCATTCGCTCCTACGTATAGATTATCTGTAATTTAAAAATATGGTACCCTAATATATATATTCTCAACATTAGTTGATTTATTTATTCTAAATGATGCACAATACATCATATTGAATTGTAATATCGATTGTATTAGAAATTATGTTTATTATTGAATTGCTTTTGAAACATTGAAATCGTTCATAATTTCGTCATCTGAGTTTTGCTCGACTTAAACAAATACGCAAAAGTTCATGGGTCTACATAAAATTGATGAATAAATAGAAACGAAAAGTTGTAATGAAAAATAAAAAAAGTAAACTTAAATTATGCATTACTTCAATTTTTACTAAATCCAATTCAAATATATCAATAAATTCGTTAGCGAACGACTTGTTCTATAGATTTGAACTAATATTACGTGTGCGTGTATAATTACGAGTTATAATTGCAATTATAATTAAAATTATTTTGAAAATAATGTTGATTACTATTCTCATTACTTACTACTATATTTAATTAAATATACCTTTTATGTTTTTGTATGAAACTAAATTAATGAAATAAATTGTTAATAACTGTATAATTCATACTTAGTATTATTTCTTAGATTTTACAAGCTAACTTAATAATTATCAAAAAATAATAATAGAATTTAAGCCCTTATTTTCTAAATGCATGAACCAAAAATTCTGAAGAAAGGACATTTAATATATATATATATATATATATTTATATATATATTTATAGAATATAAAGCCAAAATAAAATAGTAAAAGAATGTATTCAGGCGTAAAGTAAGGCAAATTTCATCCTCGACTTTATATGAATCTGGGGACGTGTTATCATAAAACCCGTATGCACAAATAATTATGATGGTTTTGTCATTGTAAAGATTTGATAATGAACAAAGTAGTGAACGAGGTTGTATGCTTTATAAAAATTGCATAATTTTTTCAATTATTGAAATTGCATTATGCATTTTATGCAGGATTGATAATATTTATAATTCTTCAGATATTTGCTCCGTAAAAAAAATAATATTTTATACACTCATTCTATATATTTTACGTAAGTGAATAAATATCGCGTAAGACTATATCTTATATTAATAGATAAATTTATTACTATGAAAGTATAATTATATTTACCTACATACACAATTTAGCATTATAATGAAATCGTATAAAAATGATGATAAAATTGTAAATTATAGTCCAGCTTAAAACTTAAAAAAAAAAAAAAAAAGGTTATTAACGTAAGTATTTATCATGGAAATTTGCTCATATTTATTTCATTACATTCAATGTTCCGAGGGACTGTAGAAATATATTTTTTAAAGAATAGCGGTATGTCATTATAATAAAATTGATTATTTTTTTAATAAACATATACGCATATATGTATAAAGTATATACAACAAATTTAATGTGAATTTGCTAATATTTTGAAACTATACTGAATGAAATTATACTGTTATTTTTAATAGTATTTCATGTATGTTACGTGTTAAACAAAAGTTAAAATTTATTGAATAATAAACCTGATGAATCACAAACACAAATTTTTTCTATTCTAATAATAGAAATAATTTGAACTTTGACTAATAATTTGAATAAATTAACTATTGGCTATTTAATGTTATAAATAAATAATTTAAACTTAAAAATAATCGGTTGATTATTAAGAATTATAAACTTTGTGTTATCTGATAGTAACTAAGGGAATAATAAAATAAATACAAAAATTAAATTTAATGAAAATGCAAATTTTGTTTTACCTTTGTTCGAAGGTAGACAGACTGGCCTTATAGTTTCCGATAATGTAATTCTTTCACTCAGCCTAAGCAGGGCTATGTCGTCATCGAAATTTAAAAAACTAAAGTTCCCAATAAAAGCTCTCGCAACAAATCTTGATTCAATCGTTGATTTTTGTGTGCATCGGTCATGCTCGCCGAACGTAACTTTTATCATAAACCACATAAACCTGAAGAAAAAAACACTGAATATGTTGATCACTTTGAATAAAGAGTAATTAAATTTATAGAAACGTGCCTCAAGCTGTCCAAATCTTTGTACTTCATTTACAAAATCTCATTGTATACAATGGCATATTTTATACACAATATTTATACAAAACGCATGAAAATTATTCATTAAAATGGCATATTTTAAACAATATCGTACTACAAATTACCAATAAAGTTATTGCTCAATAATGAAATATTATAATGCTCCATGTATGAGCTAATAAAGATAAAGAAAAAAAAAAAGAAAAAGATCCATATTCATGCTTCAGTGTGATTGCATATTTAATAACTTGGATGCGTTTGGCATAAGAAAATCAATTTACTGCAATTTAATTCGAAGTCCCGTAAGTGTTGATATCGACTCATTTACCCTTTGACACAATGTGCAGCAGTTAAAACGTAACGATCGTTAATGAGAGTCCCGCCACAGTAGAACCTGTTCATGTAAGACAATCTCACTTGCCATGGAAATTCATTAATCAGTGTAGTCTGCCCACCAACTATACGACTGTCTTCATTGCGAAGTCCACAGCCTAAGTGAAATAAGAAATTTACTAGCGATTCTTGAATAATAGGACATATAAGAAATTATTGCACTTCTACCTACTGCAATAGCATGGCCCAGGAGGAGCTTTCGTTTTACTTTTGAAGATATTCAAAAAGTTTCTTGTACTATTATTATCTGGCTGAAATACCACATTGTTAGAGCACTTATCTTTATTCATATTTTTGATATTTATAAATGAAAAATCTAAAATTAGTTTTACCTTACGTAACAGAAATTATAACGGCAAATTACTATGAAATATTTTCAATTTGATATTATTTATATTTTATTTTTTATTAATTATTAAACTATTCGTCGAATTGCATACTTTAATTATCCATGATAATAAATATCAAAAACATTCAACGAAATAGCCTACAAATTAATTTCAATCATACACTTAACGAAAAATTTTAAATATACACGACATAATTATTTTCAAACTATTTCTTAAAAAAAAAAAAAATACTCGACCCTTAACTTTCTCGTCTCCTGATTAACTTATGAGAATTTATAATTTTACTACTAATATTTGAATGAACATATATCGAACTTCAAAAACCTTCGAAATTGATTAAATATTTATTTGATGATTAATACATTATTACGATTCTTTTTTTCTTTTTTTTTTTTTTTTGTAATAACTTATTATTAACTAAAATGTACCTTTTTATATGTATGAAGTTTGATTTCATGCCATATTACATTTTACTATTTCATTATTTAGTTAGAATCATTATTTTCTCGAGGTGTAAAATTAAACCGCTAAGGCTATAAAATTTAATGAATTTTCAGATGGACAAACTCACATCAAGCTCGTGACACTTCGCCCTCGATACCAAGAAAGTAATGAGGAAGAGAAATCGCAATGGCCAAACTCTCGATTGCATGATCGTGAATACAGCGATGAACCAAGCGTAAATAGAAGTGCAGATGTCGAATAATTAAGGAATTTTTATTTCTTCACAGCCTTGATGAATTGCTCTACTTTTTAGAACATTTCATTATTATTATAATAAAGCAATAGAGAACAATAAAGTTATTGAAAAAAAAAAAAAAAATCTAAGGTTATCTACTTTTATCATAAATATGTATATACTGGGAATTCAAATATTTCTTTAGTGTTCTCTGGTATTCAATCAATAAAAAGATGTGAATAAATATGAAAGTACGTGAAAAAGGAACTGTAATAGGTAACAGTCGTCTGTTGTATGTAACGTAATATGAATCGTAAACGTAATCCGATCAGCTGTATAATCCCCATAATAAATAACTTTATCGACAGTCAAATATAAAATAAAAAAATCACTTTTAATAATTGTTTCCGTGTGCGAAAATATTTTCTATTTTGTTTATTCAATTCATTTTACCGTTAAAACAATAGACTTACACAATAGATTAAATGGAGTAAATCGATATGATCGAGAGGACTTTAGAACATAAACATAGTTCGGTACGTTAAATCGTTAGTTTTAAAAAACATACGTACGTGTGCGCGAGTGTGTGTGGTTGCGCGTGGGTGGGTGGGTGGGTTGGTGTACGCGCGCGTTCGCGCACAAGTATTTATTTATTATACTGCAGTTCCTGGTTATAATTTTTATTTTTTTTTATTTTCTAATTTTTTTCGTAGTGGTTGTCGTCGTGGTCGTCGTCGTGGTCGTTGTTTGTGCCGCCAATTTTAAATTGACTAAGGTCAAGGTGCCTGTCGAGCTAAGCTATTGACCGAGTAAAGGCGATTGGTTCATTACCGTTAGGCTCCCATCGTTCGAGTGCACCCATAATTTGAAAAAGAAAAGAGAAATGAGAAAAGAGAAAAGAAAAGGCTAAAGTAACAAAAGGAAAGAGTAAATAAGCGCGAGAACCGTACCTCCAGTAAAGAAAGCCAGTGTCAGGGTCGTGCAGCCATGGGCGTTCGCGTTCAATCCTTGAAGAGAGGCTCGCCTTGCGTATCCACACTGAGGCATGCGTGCAATCGCCAGACGAGGGGACAAGGCCTCGACGAGATTGGGCCGAGGGTGGGGGAAGACAGAGCCGACCTGCTGCTCGGCTACGCGAATAGCCGGATCGCGTATGACCGATCAGCGCGAATTCAGGGAAGGAGTGGGTAATATGTCGGAGCGCCGCGTTCACGGTCACGTTCACGATCACGGCCTACCGTCGGAGCTGCCACTGTCACTGACCGACACGCGACCGATAACGGATCCTCTAGTTTGTAGCTTGTTGATACTAGGGTATCTACGTGTAGCGTAAGTGGGCGGTGCGGTTTCTGTACATGCTAATTATGCACGCTTCACTTAGCAGGTTCGCTGCTGCAATTGCTCCGGCAGGTTTTTAAAGTCCCGCGATATTGGAATCGGCGATACACCGATTTATGGTCTATCGTTTTATGATATTTAGATGTCATTTGAGTCAATTGAGGAATTAAAGAAGATTTCACGTATGATACACGTTTCGACTGCCAGTGAGTCAAGTAAAGTGGGTCGCAATTTTTTTGCCGTATCGCGCATACTGCGCTTGGAGGATTTTGATAAATTCTATATGATATTTAACACAATTGTAATTGATGGGGTTCGCACGTAATGTGTGTGCAAATTTCCAATAGTCATTTTACATATATCGCAGACTATTGTTTTTCAAAGAATATTTCACTGTATAAAAGCTTTCAAGCCTTTTACTTTAAGACTTGAAAGTCCATACAGGATCATTAATATCCAAGTAGATATAATCTAGCGCCATTACATTTATGCATAAATAAATTATTTATAATTTACAATAAATTACGATAAATTTACAGCAATGTTTTATTACGGTCAATAATATTTTATACGAAATTAAGTCTTATAACAGTATTTTATTTATGTTCTTACGCGTGAAATGCTCAAAAATCATATGACTATCTTATGATGTATAATGTTCTTAAGATTTTATAGGTTTTCTATTCTTTTTTATTTTACCGATCGGCCAAAAATCCAATACTATGAAATACTATTCAAAACTATGAAATTTTTCTTTCAAGACACATGCTGTGTCTTTAATATGTTTTTAATGATTATAATCAACGCGAAATGAGGCATTTAAAACGGAAAAGAATAAATAATATAGAATTCGATCACGTTTACCTTATTCAAGAGAATTCCAGTAATCCATTAATTCATTACTAGATTAATAATCTAACTATATAATTTTTCGATCTTGTGTTGACTTTATTTAAGAGTGAAAGAACCAAGTCATTAGAAACACATGTAGTTTCCATGTTTATGAACACGCAATGCGGTTCGACGTTTAAAATTGAAAAGTAGTCATAAATGTTAGTAGCGTTTAAAACCTTGTTTGTTTTTATTTTCTTTATTATTACATTGATTTTTTAAAAATAATTTACTAAAAGCTTTATGTATAGAAATGCACACTATCAAAATATTACAAAATACACTATTAAATATTTAAGCAACATTATGACAATAGTACGTCATAAGACGTAATTCTCGCAAAATTTCTTCTACATAATCATCTTCACGAGCTTCTGCTTTTCTTTTTTTACTATTGAATGGAATGATTGAAGATAATTAACTTCATTATGTACAAAAAATAAAATTAGTACACTGTAATATCACATGCTTGAATTATCAGTCATTAACACACTTCATTTAGGGCATTTACGGCTCACGTATCGCATAAACACGTTTCTTTCATATTTATGTGAATCCAGTTCAAGTATCGCGTAACTCTTGTATAAACGCCAGGATATCCAGGACGTCCACATCCAACACCCCACGAAACAATTCCTAAAACATATTTTATGCAGCTTCATTACGACAATGTCAATGATTTGAGGAATACATTACGAAATAAGTGCGATTTTTCAGTTTTTACTTATTTCCATGGCTACATCAATAAGATAAGAGGAGAAAAGAAAGAAGGCAAAAGAAAGCAAATGAAACGTACGTTATAACGTATTAAACATTGAAATATCTAATTTTTCAACAAAAGGAATTATTACTTATGAATTATTATGCCGAGCTATATTGAATATAAATGAAATCGTTAAATTCAATAATCAAAACCTGCGATTTCAAGTCTTCCGCCTTCATCGACGAGCAATGGTCCACCGCTATCACCCTGGCACGAGTCCTGGCTTCCGTTTCCTGCACAAATCATATTTTCAGTGATGCGGTTCGCCCTGTACTTCATCTTTCTGCATTGATCCAAAGTGAGAACGGGCACGGCAACTTCCTGGACAATTCCTGCGAGCATTCCGCCTTCTTTCGTCCGACCCCAGCCTACGACTGTTCCACGCTTTCCCGCAGGATCGCTTCCTGTTGATCATGAAAATAAATATTTGTTGAAAGTGGCGAAGAATTCCGCACTTACGCAATAACAATTCGATAAATACCCATTAAAGAGATTAAAAAATGTCTAGAAAGTGAATATTCATCGTGTTTAATTTGATTTTGAATTGATTATCGTACCTGGTCGAGGAAGACAAACAGGCCTTATAGTTTTTGAGAAAATCACGGGGCGCCGTAATTTTAAAAGTGCAACGTCGTGATTATATGACTCGGTGTCGAAATTTCTGTGGCGAATAACAGCTGCGACAGCTCTCATAATAGCTTGTCCATCACTCGTAACAAACTGATCGTGATCACCAAGTATTATGCGAATTTTCGATCGCTTCAATCTATAATATGTATAATTACATGATTAATCTATATTTAAGCGAACCTGAGTGGTGATTAATTATTTTGCGCTCAAAATAATAATGACTTTCGTTCAATTGGGTAAAAATATTATTATTTATTTTTATTGTAAAAAATATTTTTATTTGCAGGAGATTATATATTTTATACTTTATATTACTAGCTGATCGATAATCATAAATAACGACAGAACAGTGAATGAGTTATGAATTTTGCAGAATAATAAATTATGAAATAGCCTCGGTTCTATACGGTTCTACATTACACTATAGCATTAACATTGAATAATTACGTACTTCCTAAGGCAATGAGCAGCTGTTATAACGTAATCATTGGTAAGAAGACTGGCTCCGCAATGAAATTTACCATCGTAAACTAGTCGAGCTAACCAAGGATACTTGTTTGGTTCAGTAGGTCGGCCTCCAACTATCCTATTCTCTTGATTTGATAAGCCACAATCTTTGATGGAAAAACATCAAGTGATAAATAACGTATACATAACATTATGCACTTTTCATAAAATATTGTCAAGTTTGTGGTAGATCATTTAGCTGGACATTATATTCGTATATTACTTTCGTTTCCGTGATTTTAATTTAGAATTTGTTTGATATCTAGTAGTGATAGTAACAAAAAATGCGCTAAGTTCATAATTTACATTGACTATTAGTTTATTTAAATAAACGGTATATATCCGTTAATACTAAAATTATCGCTGAAATGGTGCAATAGAAAAATCTTGCTTGATTTGGAATTATGATTATGGGCGTAAAGTCATTTATTAAACATCGTCGAGTATTACGTTTTATTTTGAATTTAACGCGTTTACTTAAAGTATATACACTTGAGTGACGTTATTGTTGAAGAAGAAAAAAGATTATTTGAAATTCAATTCGACCGCACTGGTGTGAAAAAATTTTCAAATTCTTCTTCTTCTTGTGTTCTGCTTTAATTTCTTAATTAAACATTGAAAGAACATTGTTTGATAAATTGAATTAATTATGGAAGTCAATACGCGCGTACGCACAAAACCATTATAATACAACTTACCACACGTGCAATTCCGCAATTTTTCCTCATTGTTGGTCGACAATGGCTTGCTACCACTATTACTAGCGATATCGATGCCGAAAATATCGTCGAAGAATATTCGACCACTACGATTAAAGCTTGTACTCTGAAAGAAAGATGTTGCGCGTTCACTTTCACAAATATACATTGTGCTCGTGAGTATCTCACGCTTACGCTCGAAACAGAGAAAGTGATGAATTTTAAAATTGTAGGTCAAGGCCTAAGGATTTGATGGATTCGGATCATTCTTCTTTCTCTCTCTCTCTCTCTCTCACACACACTCTTCCGTTTCTTTTTATCGTCGAGAAATATGAGTAATAGGCCGTAGGTGTTTATCTTCGGTATTACATCACGCGAATACTAGCAAATTGCCGAGTGTAATATTTCATCGTTGATCTTTAAATTAGTCACGTGCTTATACGGTACATTCCAGAATCTGGAGCGTAGATAATTTTCACAAATTTTGACCAATGACACGTGATTAAAAGTCCGCGCGTCCTTGCACAACGTATTAAACGTTTGGAAAGATTAAGTTTGGAGGAAATCCGCCCCCGTACTACCAAATAATCAATAATCTAGTTACATTGAGGAAGGCAAGATTTATAAAATTCGATAGACTAATGCCATGGAATAGAATGAGCTCGCAGTACGGGGAATCTTTCGAGGTCTTTACGTCAAAGTCCCATTGGAATAAGAGCGAACGTGGTAAGTGCATACAAATTAGCAAGGGAGATGAATATATTTTGGTCACGCGTGTACACTTAGGATATAATTTGTCAGACGAGAAGACGCTACTTACGAATTTCGTATTTCTTAGATATGTTCTGTCTGTTGGTGCTAGAGGCGCGGTGCTCAAGCCCGAGGCGTAGGTCACGTGGAGCAGGGTGACGATGAAGAGGAGGACGACGACGAGGACACCGGCATTGGGAGCTCGGGGTCCGGTCGACATGATGGATGCGATTGCACGGATACGCAATTTTCCGCGAGTTCACGCTCGGCTCGTTATCAGCTCGGTCGACGTACGTCGCCTCGGCGTCATCTCGCGTCAAATCCCCACGACTAAAAGATCTCGGGCTCGGTGTCGCGCAGAAGGAAACATCGTCTCGTACGGGCTTTGCTTTCACTGGCGCGCGCTTTGCCCGAAGAAAGTCCCGCT